CAGGGAGCCAGAGTAGAGGGATGAAAGAGCCACATGCGGCTCCAGAGCCGCAGGTCGTAGACCCCTGTGCTAAGCCATAAAGCTTGATTTACAAGACACCAATCATATGGCCCATGATATGTGAACTTTCTGGGCTTGAGCCAAAGGATGGAGGATGATTCTGGGTGCGGAATAGGCGATTCAGTCCTTCATTGACTTCAACGAAGTTGGTTGTACTACCATTCTCTCCAAACGGGGCAGGGAACACATGCCAACTTCTTGTGGCATGTCCTTTGCTTCTGGGGGCGGGCTGCTGCAGAGATTAGGTTTTCTCCATTCACCTGTTATGAGCAGTGATTGGAGGCGAATGTTCCCTCTCTACCCCAGCAGGCATCCGACCGATGACAGGAAGACATGAGTTCAAAGTTGCAAACATCTGCGCCCGAGAAACAAATGACGATGTTCACGCCTCTGTTTGGGGGAAGTGTGGGTGGAACAGCCTGCCTCCACCACTGAATCAAGCCAGGATGTTTGCTATATAAAATATTATGTATAATATTTTACATAGTCCCTTGATAGTGAGCCAGGTGGCATATAAATGTAATAAAAAAATAAATAAACAGCCCTCTAGGCTTTTTCCTGTACAAGTTCCAGTCGTACCCAAGGGCAACTTTGCCCAACTGCCTCTAACTACTACATCTAAGCTGCAAAACTGCAGATAATCAATAGAGGGGAGCAAAGAAACAAAATATATTCTATCTATGCTGCCACCTGGTCAGCATCTGCAGTTTAGCGATCCTAAACTTTATACCCTCAAGGTATCTGCTGAGTGGAGAGGACTCCTTCTCCTCTCCAAAGGTTTAAGATTCTGGGATTACCCTTTTTTAAGCCCTTGAGGATTTATTTTATCTCTGTCCTATCCCCTTCTGATTTGTCGATCACAAGGTTAGCAGTTCGTATTCCTAGTGCCACATAATGGAGTGAGCTCCCGTGACTTGTCCCAGCTTCTGCCAACCTTGCAGTTCGAAAGCACATAAAAATGCAAGTATAAAAATGGGGACCAACTTTGGTGGGAAGGTAATAGCATTCCGTGCACCTTTGGCATTTAGTCATGCTGGCCACATGACTAATCACCACCCCCTAGTCAGGAACGACTAGCATGCATGTGCAAGGGGAACTTTTACCATTACCCCTTCCGTATTAATATATAGTAGTTTTGCAAACTTGTAGCATTGCAAGCTTATTAACCATCCTTTCTTGGAGAGAAGAGAATTATTCTTTGGCTGCAAAAGGATCAGCATTTCTGTTTTAATTTTTTTCAGCTTTCCTCAATTATGGATTGAAAAATGAAGCCAAATTTCCCCAAATCCCAAAAAAGTGTAAATTTACTTCTTGAAATAAAAATATAAAGCGATGGATCAGTTGATGGGGTCAGTTAAATAATATGTTTCTCAATAGGTTGATTTTCGTAACACGCTTAATGGCTGGTTACCGAATTAATCCAATTTTCTAAATTGCACAACTCAGGAATAAATTTATTGAAGTAATCTGGCCTCACACAATACATTAATCTATTTAAAATCGCCGAAGTTAAAAAATGTGTGACTACAGCTGCTATGGTTGAAACTGGTCTGGCTAAGGATATTTTTTTGATTATAACAGTCAGATACTAATTAGAAGTGACAAGGAGGCTGGCTTTTAATTTCATGCAACTTCCTAAGAGAAACCCAAACAAACCACAATATGGCTTTGTACTGTTGCTGTTACAAACAGACTTTTGAGCACACAATCTCCAGTGAAGCTAAAGCAGGAACCAATGAAGGTTCCGTGGCAACTGTTAACTGAATGTTAGCAGAGCAGAGATTCAAAGCAAGGGACTAAGCAAAGATTGTCAAGCAAGGCTGGTTAACATATCTGACCTTTACCCTGTGATACTAGAGAACTGGCAGTACATCAAAACATAAATAACAGCTTGAGGATTTGGAAGGGGGAAAAAAGGACAACCTGACTGCATAAATCATACGCTTTGAGACAGCAACTTTAAACATTTTGCCTGGCTTTGTTGCAGAATCTCATGGCTGAAAGTGGTGTGAACGCTGGAAGAGGTATTGGCTGGTACTTGTGAGCCAGTGTTTCTCAATCTTGGCAACTTTAAAAGACCTGTGGACTTCAGTTCCCAGGATTCCCCAACCAGCTATGTATTAACTCTGTCCTTTTTGTCCTAAAGTCCCAGCCTAATTTCTATTAAACTGCAACTTCTCGTGCCTTCTCTTCTTTCTCCTTAGTAGTGTATCTCCCTAGGACAGTATTTTTCAATCACAGCAGCTTTAAGATGCGAGGACTTCAACTCCCAGAATTCCCCAGCCAACTCTTGCAGGCTGGAGAATTCTGGGAGTTGAAATCCATGAGTCTTAAAAGTGGCTGAGATACTGCTCTAAATCAATCAGTTATGTTGGCAGATATGAGGCTAGAAAAGGTGTTCAGCCTTCTTTTCCTCTGCTAACATTGCCAAATATCTTTGAACTATTGTATGCATAAATTCTTTTTCCTTGCAGGAACAGCTTTCTGAGAATGCCTACGCCATCACACGTCAGTATTTCCATTATAAAAACAACCAACAAAGCATTGGATAGTTTCATAAATGTTTGTCCTCTAAACCAGTGGTTCCCAAACTTGGCAACTTTAAGACTTGTGGACTTCAACTCCCAGAATTCTCCAGCCAGCTCTTGGAGAATTCTGGGAGTTGAAGTCCACAAGTCTTAAAGTTGCCAAGTTTGGGAACCACTGCTCTAAACCATGGGTCTCCAACCTTGGCAATTTTAAGCCTGGTGGACTTCAACTCCCAGAGTTCCCCAGTCAGCATGAGAACTCCTCTTAAGTGCTGAGGTCCACAGGTCTTGTCAAGTGCTCTAAATCAATTTGGGGGCAAATTTAAAAATAGAATCAATATGGCATCCTTGCTGGGTTTCTACCAGTCTCCTAAGATGTTTTTAACCCAGGATCTGTCGTTCACTTCCACCACAGGGCATTTAGGATCCTTGGCAACTGGTTATCACACACCAAAACTCTTTGCACTCAATGGTTCTTTATAGTTGGTTCTAACAACCCCTGGCCGAACACCAAACATAAATGGAAATTATTAGATGTCTTCGGGCACCTTCAACTTATTTTTGCAGCCTAATGTATGCAGAAGCCTTCAGCTACTGTAGTAGGTACTCAAATAGTTGATGTTTAAGAGAAGTAATGCTATGCATGGCCTGTTCACCCATCACACGAAGCTCCTTTTATTGAGCAAACCGTAATTGTGCTGTAACAGACTGGAGTACTGTACACCGTAACTTTATCCTTGGTGCACCTGCTTTAAATGCAACTCGGTAGGCAACATCCTGTCCTCAGCCTCGTCCATCCTATTGCACCAACAACTTTAAGCATCGTATAAGCGTGTTCCTTCTCTAAGCTTACAAAAGGATAAAGAAAAAAGAACCAGAAAGTTAAGAATGCATGATGGTATTACCACTTAAAGACCTATCTGAGTATTCACACACATTGTAACAACAACTTCATAACACAACATTTTAACTGTAATGGCCACTTCTCTACCTATATACGGCCCAGTTCATATTGATTTATCAACATTTATACCTCTCCTTTTCTCTGGAAGCTTATGGATCCAGGTTCTGGGTACTGACCTATTTCCAACCATTTGCAGGTAGTCCTCAACAGGACTACAGCAGTTCATTTAATGACTGATCAATTACAACAGCACTGAAAAAATGTGAGAGATGAACTATTTTTCACACTTATAACCTTTGCAACATCCCCACGGGTCACATGAATAAAATTGGGATGCTTGGTACTGACTCATATTTATGACCATTGCCGTGTCCCAGGGTCATTGGAACCCGCTTTGGCGACCTTCTGACAATATGGGAAACCAGATTCACTTAACAACTGTATAACTAATTTAACAACTGCAGTTGATTCACTTAACAAATGTGGCAAGAAAAGAAATGGGAAGCACATTTCTCACTTAACAACATAAATGATAGGGTCAATTGGGGTCATAAATTGAGGACTACCTGAATAAATCTGCAAGATGGGCTAAGGTCCCAGTGACTTAACTGAAGACTGTAAAACTACACGGTAGTGAAGCCAAATCTCCAAGCAAGTTTAGTATTTATTATATAGGCTTGTTTCACTACTATCCAACTAAGCTGGCTTGCACATCATACCATAAACTCCCCCCCCCCTGCAAAAAAAAACACAAGGACCTGAATTCGCTCTCATACCAGGCCAAAGTATTAGCCATATTATGGCTAGCAGAATGCATGCAAGTTTCTATACCCAAGGAGGCAATTTCCAAATTTGTCACACAGCACTTCTAAACTCCTGCCCGTATCAGTCTGCCTCCCATTAGCAACACAGGATGGGAAGGAGGGGTGGGAAGGGAATCTTCGTAACATAAATCCTCTGCTCAACTTCTAAATCCAGATAGATTTGTTGCTCAATATTGGTTGACAAGTTTTCAGCACTTTCTCTGGAGAGATTATGCCATTTTTTAAATATTAAAGCAGTAGTATATTTGCCAACTTAAGTTTGCAAGGAGCTCTGTTTGGCAATCAGGAATTTCAGAGTAATACCCTAAATAACACAGTTATTGCTAAACAGCCTTCTTACTAAAAGCGTCTTTCTTTTACAGCAAGCAGAAGGCTGCCCTAAATCTTTTCTCAGATTGGCTGCCTCCTGATTTTAAGGCCAATATTTTAAAATGTGGGTTAAATTAGTTTTTAAAAATAAATTGCCAATGGAATTATAATTATTCCAGGAAGTTACAATTTACAGCAATTGTGGGTCTTTGGGAGATCTCTTCTTCAGCATCCAGAATGAAATAATTGTCCCACATTAAAATAGTGACTTAAACATGTGATATTTGGGATGGGTCCACGCATGTTAAGTTAGTCTCCCCTCCCTCCCAGACCAAAAAAAAAAAATACCCTGTAAAAATTTCCAAGGAATTTAAAAAAAAGTTTAAAATTTATTAAGAAACTTTTATAAAAAGTTTTTTTGGATTTTTTTTTTTACAAAGCAAGTACAATTCTCGGAAACATAAATTCACCTTCCTGCCAAAAAAAGGTACATATGTCATCTCTATTATAGAGTTCAACAATTTAACTCATGAGGCTCAACCAACCTCAAGTGAGTTCAGTTTTCATAGTCTTAATATCCCCTTCCCGCTTCCCCCCAGCCCCAAACTGAAGTTAAAAAACTATAATCCAAAATATACAAACAAGCTGCGTTATCTGCATTTTTTTTGCTTCATTTTTTTTAAAAAGAGCAAAAAACAGCTCTCTTCATAGATCTCTACACACCAAAGCATTGCAAAACTGTGGAAGAACGCAAAGTCCACATTCTTTTAAGCTCTCTTCAGCCCAATGTGCAGTACAAATCTGATGGCTCGAAGAGGGGTTTCCCCCCCTTTCTTCTTCTACACCTTTTGTCAAAAAAACNGGGCAGCTACATAAGAGATCTGGTTAGGGATGCTGTGTGAATGCAGCCAGCCATGAGATGATAGTCTTCAGATACAGGGAATCCAACTCTTTGAATTCTCACCAACAGCCACACTAACTGGGACATTTGGGAGTACAACACTTGTACTCTAGGCTCTAGGTTGGGGAAGTCGCCTATACCAGAGGTGAAGGTGATTTAGAAGTCACGGTGGGTGGATTTAGTCGCCTAGATAATGTCAGGTTACTCTGTGGGAGGAGGGTTGTTCCAGGACCAGCCATTCTGGTTCTGGCAGGGGACCAGCCAAGACTTCCAGGTTCTAGTTCCAACCAGGCATTCGTGTCACTGACTCACCTTGACTTAAGCCAGGAACTGAAGCAACACAGAAACAGGCAAGGAGATATCTTCAGCCAAACCACATTCCTTCAGAGCAAGAGGCAGTTTGGGGATTAGACCAGTGGTTCACCCAGCAGGCCACCCAGCTTGACTTGTCTTCTACCGTCTCCTTCTAGACCCAGGAAGAGAACAGAGAAGATGATAAGCAGAGGTTGCCCTTCCTTCTCCTTAGCCTCGGGGTCTCTTGAGCAACCGTTACTGAGTGTGAGAGAGACCACATCTCAACTGGTGGAGGGGTGGTGGCATTAAGCAAGGGGCGGTGGGCAAGAGAATAGCCCAAGGTGGATGGCGTTACCCTTTCATTTCTCTCTGCCCAACAGTAGTTGATGGGAAAGAGGCATATCACTCTTGCCAGGGGTGGGCTTCAAAAATTATAGCAGGGGGTTGCTTGGTGGGCGTGGCGATGGTGGGAGTGGCCTAGTCAGCCTCCTGCACCACAGTGGGGGGGGCATTTTTGCCCTCCCCAGGCTCCAGAGGCTTTTTTTGAGCCTCCAGGAGGGTGAAAATGGCCCCCTCAGGCTCTGGAGGCCCTTTTCCGGCCTTCCCAAACTTCCAGTAGGCCCATTTTTTACCCTCCCCGAGCCTCCCCCTCCTGTGTGTTTACCTGAATCCAAAATGGGTCATGTGGGGACTCTGAGAAGGGAGGGATGGGTGGGGCCAGCCAGGAGTGGGATTTGGGGGTTCTCTGAACTGCATAGAATCTTAGTTAGAGGTTCTCCCGAACCTCTGTGGACCTCCAGCAGCCCTGACTCTTGCCAAAGGTTAGAAGAATTGCCCGCAAAGGACTTCAGAAACTAAACTATGGGTGATACGTGTCTGCGGGGCTGCAGATTACTTATCGCTGCTTTAGGCATCACTGCTTACCCCTAGGAGTAAGTTGAGCAGAGGTAAGCAAAGAGGGCCAGGAGATTCTAGAAGTCAGGAGTGGAGCTCCTGCTGGAACATGTACAGTAGGTCTTGCCTTCTTAGCACCTGACGATGCTGGCCTTGCTCCAGGCAGAAGGATTCTCACATTAATATTCCTTGTAAGTTAGATTTCCAGGTGCAGAAAGAGACTTATGGGGGAAAAGATGAGTTATGAGCTTAGGAAAGGTCAGTTCTATTGTCCATTGGGATTCTGGCCTTACTTCCAGATAGGTGTTTTGGGCTGGACTTTTCTTTTTTGTGAGCCAAGAATGGCTTGGTTAGCCACGTAGATAGGATCGGTCTTTCATTCTACTTTTTTAAAAACAAATCAGGCCAGTTCTCTCTCTCGCTCGCTCGCTCTTATGTATACACCTGTGATAAACATCCATCCTACCCTTTGTTCTTTTAAATGACCTAGAAACCTGATTGCTGATGGAAGAAACTACAGTATTGTTTTTAGGGTTAAGTCCCTCCTACAGTCTTTTGCCATTATGGTGGGGTTCGCACCTGTCTCTAAGCCACAAGGTGATTTATTTGGTTTTCATTCAAATAATTTACGAACCAGCCTTTGTAATTTAAAAATTATGGTTTATGGCAATAGCAATAGCAGTTAGACATATACCGCTTCATAGGGCTTTCAGCCCTCTCTAAGCGGTTTACAGAGTCAGCATATCGCCCCCAACAATCTGGGTCCTCATTTTACCCACCTCAGNAAAAAGAGCAAAAAACAGCTCTCTTCATAGATCTCTACACACCAAAGCATTGCAAAACTGTGGAAGAACGCAAAGACCACATTCTTTTAAGCTCTCTTCAGCCCAATGTGCAGTACAAATCTGATGGCTCGAAGAGGGGTTTCCCCCCCTTTCTTCTTCTACACCTTTTGTCAAAAAAACTGCTTTAAGGGATACCAAGTTCCTTCTTGTGCAATGCAGCAATCCAATGAGTAATTTGACAATAAAAGGCAAGTTACTTTCCCCCACTACCCCCCAACTCCTGGCTTGCAGTTTTTCTTCTTGTTTTCAGGCTGATGGAAGATAAAAGTAACACAGAAGTATTTTTTTTTTAAGTTGTTTTTGGAAGACCCAGTCCAGAAATCTGCCTTGGGTGATCTCCTTCCACAGTTTATCTGGAAGATAAAAGTCCGTCCATTTTAGGGGGATGCCCAGTTTCGGAGCAGCTGATTCTTTCTCCAGTCAAGGTCTTTTATTTTATTTTTCCTTCCTTCTTTTTTCTTTCTCCTCCCCCTTTTTCTTTCGCTGGAGAGAACCCAGTTTCAGGATCCCACACCTGCAGCCTGAATGGGTGGGGGAAAAAGAAAAGCTCTTGTCAGTTTGAGCAACAGATCACAGGCAGGTCTGCAGACAGGATGGCGCCTGGAAGGAAACTTTTTTATGTACCTCCAGCTGATAAGGAATCAGCCGCCAATACTCAAGCTGGGGGCTGGCTAATTGGCACCAAAACAACCAAAAGGGAAGGGAAGGGAGGGGAAGGGAAGGCGGGAGGGGCCAAAGGCAGCAAGAGAGACCGCCAGAGGCTCTTCTCTTTCGGAACTCTCTGCAGATGGATCTAAAATTACAGATTCCAGCCACAGAGAGAGAGAGGGGAACAACTGTAGAGCTGTGTGTCTTCCTGACTATCAAAAGGGGAGGAGGGGAGAAGAGAGAGAGAGAGAAAGCGGGCGAGAGTAGAGTGCCTCTTGATTCACTCATTTCAACAGGGCTGTTTAAGCAGCTGCAGAGACTTAAAGCTATTAAAAGAATGACATTGTAAAAATAATGACTCCATTTACAGGCAAAAAAAGAAAAAAAAAGTCCAAGCTGCTGCAAAATTGGCAGCCGGGGGAAACAAGGGGCATAAAAGACGCATTCTCTTACCATGAGGAGTCATATAAGGCTACTGTAGGGAACTTAGTTTTTCTAAGCCGGCAAAGCACTTAAAACAAGGCTTTATGCCCCTTTTGTAGGCTTCCCAAGAGGTTTTGGTGGCTAAAAGGGATGAGGGATGAGTAGGGGGTTGAGTGGGTAGGTGGTCTAACTCAAGTGGGCCATACCTGTGAAAGCCTTTAGTGGTGGCAAAGGGTCCGTTCCTCCTTTGAGCAGAGTTCCGATGCAAGTTCAGCTGCCTTTGGAGGAGAGAAAAAATGTGGACTAAGCTTTTTAAATACAATATTCAGGTTCTTCAAAGTATCAATGTTCAGACCTGTAGGCTTTTTAAAATTTATTTCTCCATTATTACCCCTCTGCTAACAAGTACAGTTTTGTTAAAGGATCTGGGATTCTTCTTGGTCTCTCTTACTGGATCAACCCCACTGGTTGAATTGGAACCAATATTTCAAATCCTATTTTTACTCCAAATTCACCCATTTTGAAGTACTGTAAAAGATCCAGCAAAGGAGAGTGACATGGGCCAGTTTGTTTGAAAACACCCCTTATATTATTATCATTATTATTTTAATGGGGCTTCCTACCAAGGAAATCCCAAACAGTAAATTCACTCTTACATGTGTCTTACTCTCAAAGTAAGTCTGGATTTCAGATCTTGGCTTTTTGCTGAAGATTTGAGACTCAAGATTACCAAGCCAGATTTGTTGCTCTTGGACATAACTGCGGGATCTATTTTTTTTTTCTAAAGCCGAATTTTAATTGTAGTTTTGGATGGATTGTGAGAGGCTCCCTCATTTTCCACACCTCCCCACCCGACAAGCCTGAATGGCTCAGTTAAAACTTACAACAGAACTGAACCAAAAGTTAAGGAAACGGACTTCGTGGACGCTCAAGTTTAGGCGGGCAGTGGGAAATCCTCAACGCCTCCCCCCCCCTCGCCCTAAATAAATTCCTTAGGGGTTTTGTTCCAGGACAAACCCGGGATAATGATCCTCCCCTCCCCGCCTTCCCTTCACCAAGGAAGTGGCTCGTGACCCAGTGGCGCGCGTGGGGACCGGCGCAAAGGGCTGCCAGAAGCTATTGGCGCTGTCATCTGGCGGCGTCAGGGAAAAGCCCCAGCGGGCGACCCCACATTACAATACTACTCTCCATCCTTCCCGAGGACGATGGGCGTTGTAGTTCTAAGAGTAAGCGCGACGGGTAGGGAAAAAAAAGAGAAGCAAGTCAAGGGATGACGTTGCGTGGCTCTTTTCTACCACCCCTGTCAGCCTTGTTGGGGCCCTTCACTTACTTTTAAGGAGAGGAGAGAAGCCTCGGTCGAGGGATCCTGCCCCTTCTTCGCCTGCTCCTCCAGCACGATCTGGAGATCGAAGATGTAATCGATGACGTGTTGCAAGATTTCCACCTGGCTGACTTTACTGCCTTGCGGAATGCCCGGCACCAACTCCCGCAGCTTGGAGTAACAATCGTTCATGTCGTAGAGGATACTCATGGGTTCCTCCAGAGCGGGGCTCTTGTTGCTGCTGCCCCGGGCGATGGCGAGACTCTGATCCGACACGCAACACGCGGCTTCGTAGCAGCTCCTGACGGACCGCACCGGGCTGATCGCTTTCATGGTTGGATGGGGAGGACCGGGGTGGGGGGAAGAGGAAGATGAAGAGGAGGGGGATTGGTTGCAGGCGAGAAAATGAAGACGGTCCACGGCCGAAGGAGAAGGTGGGGGAAAAAGCTTTCTTTCCGCCGAGATCTGTCTCCTACTCCGGGTCAGCTCTAAAGACACTTTTGCCCCGAAAACCTCCAGCGCTGTCAGCGGCGCTTTTTGTCTTATCGGGCGCCGGCCACTCCCCCTTATGCAAATGAGGCCGGAGCGCCCTCCCCCTCCGATGACAGCGAAAAGGTTGGAATGGAACGTTCGCAAGAAGGCTCGAAGAGCCAGAACAGGTTTCTATTGGCTCCGGCGGACACCACATAGCGAAGGACATCAAAGGAATGAGGAAGCTCTGATGGCAAGGAGGGGCGGGGCTAAGCCATCAAATGCCGCTTCCCTCCCCCCCTCCCTCCTCTCCCCCCACGCTTCCATTCAGCGAAGTCCAGCTCTGTTCAAAAGATACGTCCATCGCATCTTCCCCTTCTTTTTCATTAAAATCATGATTAAGGGGGTGGGTGGGTGGGGAATGGAGCAGAGAGGGGCGCCAGATACTTAAAACCATAGAAAAGGGCTAGACCCCCCCCCTTTTTTCTGCCTTCCTCTTTTCGCCTAAGCTTTCATCGTTTTTTTTAAAAAGCTATAACGTTTCCCAAGGTTTTACATCTCTCCCTCTCTCCCACCCCCCTTTCCCATCATTGGGGGGAGGCAAAACTTGTACGGGACTTAGTGCCGCCTTGTTCCTCAATTTGCTACTCATATGACCTCCAGACTTTCTGGCGTCAGGAATTATCTTGTGACCAAGTTTTTTTAAAAAAAAAAAAAAGAGAGAGAGAAAAGGGAAAAGAAAGAAAATTAATTGCGGGGAAAGCTGAGGTTATGATGGAGAAAACAGATTTGGGTCCCAGAGTCAGGATAGTGGAAACATGAGTTTCTGTGGTGTGCGAGAGTGCAGTGAAAGTGGGAATTGCGCACACAAATCTTTTATTTGACAAATAAATGCCCGAGGGGAGGAATGGCTAAGAGACGTTTAGCTTTTAGCAACCAGCTTTTTTTATCCTTGGAAGGGGGGGGGGGGAGTGATAACTATAAAATGAACTTGAAAATAAACTGGCCCCAAATAATCAGACACAAATAGTCAATCTAATCCTATATTTCTTTATATATATATATATATATATATATATATATATATA